AGAGAGAGAGGAGAGAGGGAGAGGGGGAGGAGAGAGAGAGGAGAGAGAGAGACAAGAGAAGACAAGAAGTTAGTGACATCTTGTGGTGAAGTGTCATGTTGCAGCTGAACACCCCTCCCCTCCCCCAAGCTTCAGTCGTCATAAAAACTCAAAAGGTTTTAGTTTGTCCAGTCTGGGCTACTGTAAAAAACATGGCGGCCTCCATAGAGAGGGTCCCCTCCATGTAAATATAAAGTATTTGAATATAAAGTATTTAAATGTAAAGAGTCTTTTCTGGGGTAAAGAAAACTACAATTCATATAATTTAGATGAAACGAGTGAAAACATCATGAGGATGATTCTACATTAAACTTCTGCCTATAGATCCTCTCACCTGAATCTGAGTCACTGGAGCTTTAATGGTCGAGTGAAGTGCAGAGTTAAACCTTTGGACGTGTGATGTGTTCAATATTAAATCATTTTAAAGAAGCAGGTAGACAGACAGTCAGTCTGTTGAACGTGTCGTCTTCTACGTCTTCGTATAACCGAAAGCAGAGGTCTGATTATTTGATTATTCGATTATTTATATTTGATTATTTTTACACGCAGACATCGACAGGTTGGTTCTTGGGCCATAAACAACTTCAACAGGCAGCAAGACGGAAAAAGATGATGCACCTGAAGTGAGAGACACTCCAGCTGTGAGTCGACTGGACTAAATCTTCTGTTTGAGCAGGAGGACAGACGTCTGTCTCATCTCATCTACAGGTCCTGCATCAGGAATTCTCTCTGAAGTAAACTCTCCTGCAGACCTTTTATCATGTTTCTGCAAATAACTGAACAACAAAATCTCCCTTCATTGACTTTTTATTTCTTTGTTTATTTTTTAACGACAGAAAATACAACTTCATGTCTGTTTATAGTCCGAGGTAAATTCTTTCACATTTTCCATTTTGTTGTTGAGTCATCTTTATTTTGAACAGCAAATATTTGTGCACAAATCTGAAATAGAAAAAAACTGTCTCTAAGTATGTAAGGTACAAAACTGAGCTACGACATTAATTAACAATATTTTTGTCTGTGCACGTTCAATGGTTATAATAACACAATTTCACATAAACAATGTGTTTGTCCGTGCAGCAAATACATCTCACTCCATCTAACATCCATGTATTTCTAAGTTCTGCTTTTAATTTGAAGAGGGAAATTCTAGAAAATGGACCCATTCATTTCCACGAGCACATTAATAGGTTGAATTCCCCTTTAATTCATATATTTTTTAATAAAACCTTTTAAATGACACCATCAGTCAATCCTTCCTCATACGATGAATTCACTCGATCGTGTTGCTTCATAGATCAGACGCAAACTTACCATGACGCCTGCTCTGAGATAATTACTGTCAATCGGCTGAATGAACAGAAACATCTTAGCTCGTTAATGGCAGAGTGAACGTGTCATGTTGGCTGATGATCGAGTTGAGATTGTTCTTCATGTTTAAAAAATGACTCTTCAGGCCACTGATTGGTTGATATTCTGAGAAAACACGATTCACATAAGCCTCAAAGAACTCTCTGTCTGTGTAACACTCGTCTAAGTAATCGTAAGGTTGTCTTTCACACGTTACCTCAGTATTTATCAAATAACATTTACTCAGTTTTCTAAACTTAAAACCGATTCTAGTGGTTCTGATCTTGTAAGTTTTGTAGTTCTCCAGCAAGTGATCCAGGTCCTCCAGATACAGACTGAAGACATTTTCTATTGAATCCACCTGGTCTGAGGTCAGTGGGCAGGTCTGGCTCATCAGTCGAGCCTCGTGGATCAACATCTGGAGGTGGAAGGAGGCTCCATTAACCCAGATTTTGAACCCGCGGGAACTCATGTGTCCGTCATACAGCAGGGAGTTCCTGAGGACGGTGAGATCACCGCTCAGTTTAATTTCTAATCTGCTGAGCTCCAGTCGCAAGCGATGCTCGTTCTTCATGAACCTACGATGGAGTCTCACGTACTCGGTCATCGTGTCCCGGACAGCTGAACCTTTCTCTTCAGCAAATACACGTCGGAACATGCCGCTGGAATCACCGTCTGTTTGTGTGCTGCTCTTGATGATGATGTCCAAGAACATGGAGATCACCAACGCACCAAGTCCGACAGCATTTGGGACTGCTCTGAACGAGCTCAAGCCCGAACCCAACTTCTCGATGTAGTCAGGGTACATGTGAATCAGGTTATTAGAGAAACTCTGAAGCTCAGCATTAGAGTTTGTGCCAGAATATTTCAGCAGAGACTGATCGATGCCCACATCTGGGAAGAGACATGGGCGCTCCCAGGAATTTTCATACCAGTACAGCGACACCGCTTCAATTCTTTCCTGGGATATTTCACCGCCCATGTTGTCACACTCGATCTCTGAGGCTCAAACAAACTGTAAATGTCCCACAACCACTACACTGAACAAGTCAGGGAGCACGAAGTCCAGAGTCAGCTGCCACAGAAGTAGGAAGGACGACAACACCGGTGACCAACCAGGTCTCTGGACAGTCAGGCGTATTTGTTGATTCTTCTCTCAAGTGCCAGTTTGTCAAAGTCCAGAAGTTTAGAACAAATATTAACTTCAACAAAACACACAGAAACAGTTTATTTTGTCATTTCAATCCAGACTTTAGGGGAAAGTCTTAATTTGTCCTGCTGATAAAGTTCCTGGTAGCTTCCCTGTTATTAAACCTGTCAAAAAAGAGAAGAAACCAAGAGGAGCATAAGACGAGTTTTTTGCCATGGCAACGCTGGTCTTATGGATGGGTGGGTGGACCCCCCCACTCCATAGAGAGGTGAACAGATCTTTGTGCAGCTGCAGCTCTTTATTTGCTGAGACTCAATCGCTGCATCAACACAGGACAAACAGCTCATTTCAAACAGACAGAGGTTTAGAATGGAGATGACACTCGTCCTTTAAAATTTATCCCAGCATGTTTTTTTTATTATCAGCAGGACAAATTAAGACTTTAAAATGTCCACAAAAAAACAAAACAAATATACTCTATGAACTGCTTTTATATAATTTTGTTTCTGTGTGTTTTGTTGAAGTTAATATTTGTTCTAAACTTCTGGACTTTGACAAACTGGCACTTGAGAGAAGAATCAACAAATACGCCTGACTGTCCAGAGACCTGGTTGGTCACTGGTGTTGTCGTCTTTCCTACTTATGTGGCAGCTGACTCTGGACTTCATGCTCCCTGACTTGTTCAGTGTAGTGGTTGTGGGACATTTACAGTTTGTTTGAGCCTCAGAGATCGAGTGTGACAACATGGGCGGTGAAATGTCCCAGGAGAGAGCTAACGAACTCTCTGTTCTGTACTATAACACTGCTTTACGGAACCCATGCATCTTCCCAGATGTGACCATCGATCAGTCCCTGCTGAAATATTCTGGCACAAACTCCAACGCTGAGCTTCAGAGATTCTCTCAAGATCTAATCAACAGTGTCCCGGGCTTCGTTGACAGAATTGGAACTCGTGTGGCCCCGTTAGCTGCAGTCCCAAATGCTGTTGGACTCGGTGCGCTGGTGATCTCCATGATCTTGGAGATAATCTTCAAGAGCACGGCAGCTCCAAGCATGGATTCGTACAGTATGCTCCAACGGGTATTTGCTGAAGAGAAAGGTTCAGCTGTCCGGGACACGATGACCGAGTATTTGAGACTTCATGACACACTCATCAATGATCAGCAGCAATTGCAACTGGATCTCCACTGGTTACAAATGCAGCTGAGCGGCCATCTCACCATCCTCAGGAACTCCATGCTGCTTGACGGACACATGAGTTCACGTGGGTTTAAAATCTGGGTTAATGGAGCCTTCTTCCACCTCCAGATGTTGATCCACAAGGCTCGACTGAATCACCAGGCTGGAACACTGACATCAACCCAAGTTGATTCAATCAACAGGTACATCAATTTGTACCTGCAGGACCTGGACCAATTGCTGGAGAAATACAAGACTTACTTGGCCAGTATCACTACACTCTATCGGGAGCCGACTTGTTCAAGTGATGGATGCTACAAGACCGATTGTTATATAAAAAGTAAAGAGTCAAACTGTCGTGCACGTCATTACGAGGGGTTTCGTGACTACTGTGAAGGTGACGCTTTGATAAAGGCCTATGCAAATCAGATTGTCACAAAATATCCACCAATCACAGGGTTGAAGAGTCAGTTTCTAAACGTCCAGAACAACCTCAACGTTCTAATCAACCAACACGACACATTCAGTCTGTTGTAAACGACCCCCGATCAGTGTCCTAGGCCAGTTTACGTTTTCACCTTATTCAGCGTAAACACGTCTAACTGTGCAAATGTAACATCGTAGTGAGGCAAAGAGCAGAACCATTGAAAAACAAGGTCTGTTAGTTATTCACTGAGCAACATGAGTGAATCCAGTTCATGAGGAAGGATCAACTCAAAGCTGATTTACTTTAATCGTGATGTGAAGTTGAACTATTCTTATTTTCTCTGTGTTGTAATTTTATAGACGTGAGGAACGTGATCGCGACTTCGTTTTGTTGTTTCTGCTGCTTGTTGTTAATGATTTGATCCTGAAAATAACTGAACAACGTTTCTTACACTTCTTTATTATCATGAGAAATTAGTCACAGAACGTCTTTGCCTGTCTGAGGATTTTAATAAAAGTGATAAATATTTGTTGTCTGGACAAACACAAAGTGGATGTAAACAGATGAATGAACCAAACTTTGTTTCATTTAAAGATAATTAAACCACGATTCAACAAAACTGTGTCGGTGCAGTTGTGTTGCTGATTTTATACCTGTCGATTTAAAATTAGAAATAAAGTCACACGTTTCTTCTCTTGTACAGAACTGTGTTAACAGTGTTGACCTCTGTGTGGCTTTACTGAATTAATCCAATTAGTTAAAAACACCATTTGCAATATACACATACATCTGTGTATCCAATGAGTGTCCTCACTAAGATAGAGGCACAAACGTGTGTGTTATATATGTTTGTATTAGTGTGTGTTGTATGTGTGTGCCCACACTGCTGTATCATGTAAGTGCATGTTTAAACCACTAGATGGCAGCACTGCAATGTTGTTGACTGTGTGTGTGTGTGTGTGTGTGTGTGTGTGATGACGTTGTGGTTATGTTTATCATTATTTTGTGTCTCATCATTTGTCACCCTTCACACACACATTCACACAGTGCGTCTTTGGGCAGGAGGGTTCAGTATCTTGCCCAAAGACACTTCGGCCTGCGGAAAGTGGAAGACTGGGATGGACCTCAGACCGTCGGGTTAGAAGACGAGCGCTCTAACCCCTGAGCCACAGCCGAATGTTGCACTGCACCTTCGAATGTAAAGTTTTTATTATTGCATGATACTTTTTCATATGAAGCTCGTTCTACTTTGCTTTTATTTTATTGTGATTATTGCACAGCTGAGCTGTTTTGGGACTGGACCATAGTGACGCTTTAAAAAGCTGTTTCAAACCTCCGTCTCTTCCCCCAGGATGACGACTGTGGTGAACCTGTTGTGCCACCGAAGCCTGAAACAGACGCTGCTGAGCTTTAATCCCTGCTGTGACTTCTTTTATGTTTCAGTGCAACAAAAGGTAAACCACAGTCTGCGGACTCCACCGCGCCCACTGGAAATTAGCATCTGACATTCAGCTCAAACCAACTCTGATCCTGACTTCAGACCTTTGGAACGTGACGTTCACACAGTGACGTCTGGGAAGATAAGAATCTGCTTCTTTGATAAACATTGTTTTGAACAGAATTAAAACTTGTAGTGAAAAGTTTTTGTGGAGATTCAGCCTGAGCATATCTCAAGTACAACATCTCTAACTCAGCTCAGCTCGTGATGATCACTTGCATAAAGTTGTTTCTCTTTGGACGGACATGAAATCTTTCTTTCACGTTGAATAGGGCTGAGTCTTTTTATTTGAAATTCCAACACTGATTCTAACGTGGGGCAGCTTGACCTCTTGACCCATCATGTCACGTTTCAGGTAAAGTTGTCGTGAGACGAGCGATCATGACAGAAGCATCTGAAGCAGCGTGTGTGTTACATGTGTAACCGTGTAAATGCCTGAGAACCAATTCGAACTGTGACATATCGAAGTGAAGCAACTGAACCACATCCAAACATTATTGTTCAGAGTGTGGTTGAAGTAGTGCTGCCCACAGGGCGTATATCATGACCTCTCATCCTCTAGGAGCACTGACGCAGCTGTGAGTAAACAGGTTCATGCTAATGCTGAATATACGGACCCATCAGTCTTGGAACATTACCATGGGTCCTTGTTTTCTATTTTTAATTTTCACTGCTGTTGATTTATTTAGAAACTACCAGAGGAGTCGCCCCCTGCTGGTCAGAGAGAGAACATAGATTTCAGGCTGTGTTGTGTATAAAAATGCTGAGACAGAGATTCTAAGCATCTGGACGTAAATCAGTTAAACCTGTCCCAGAACACTGGGCGGACAATACACAAGACTTCCTGCAGTATTTACACACACACACACACACACACAGCAGAAAATAGCTCGGAGGCAGCAAACTCTGCATCCTGTCGATTAACATCAAGATGCACAACAAGCAGCCAGCAGGAAATGCTGCTGCTGCAAAGTTTACGACGAGTCAACACGACACGGCAACGTACATATGTCATTTACATAAATGAAGTGATGGTTGTATAAATTGTAAAAACATCAGAGTTTCTTTATATCAGAGTTTAGAAAGATGTTTGTTTATGATGCACTCGAGTCACAGTGACACAAAAAGCATGAACTCTGTTGGACAGGGCTTCGAGAGCTGCAGCTGGACGAGTCAACACAAGCTTCTCTGGTCCAGTTACAAAGTGTTGCGTGAGGAATCGAACCCATTTTTGACATTTTGTCACAAAGAACTAAAAGATCACGTTCCACAGTTTCACTATAAAAGACTTTTAAACATTTATAAAAAAAGGATCCTACCAGATCAAACAGCAAACAAGCCGACCTCATGGCCCCTCAGGTGTGTCTCCATCCAGGTGAGGGGCCCACCCCCTCAGATAGTCCCCGCCCCTTTACCTGGGTGGTTGGACTTCCTGTTTCATTCTACAACAGAGACAGAGATAGATAGATAGATGATAGATAGATGGATAGATGCCGTGTTGTGGACGGACACACAAACAGAACGTGTTTTTGTAGGTTTGTGTGTAAAGACCTGGACAGAGGCTGGAGTCTATTCTTAGATCCACTGTCACACCCAGGATTTGACTGGAATGCAGCACACGCAGTAAAGAAAGAAAAGCCGGTACACCTCGGAGACATGCAATAACCTCGACGACCCAACAAAAACAACCAGACGTCCCATGACTGCACAGACAGCTCCCACAATGCTCAGCTTTCTATCATCCTCCATGAGTTTTGTTGTTCTGTGGACTGAACGTTCTCATCAACAGAAATGTATGCATTTGTATTTTGAAAGAACAACTTGTCTTATGAAAAGTTCTCTGGTGGCTCAGTGAGGACGTTTGCAGAATTTAACATCAGGGATCAACTCTCCACTCGAGCCTCCGTATGTTTTCCTGTCAGGAAATCCCGCTCAGGGTCACAGGAACAATGTGCCGGACTAAAAACTCCAACAGACAGAAATATCAACAATGGAGCATCCAAGAATCTGTGTCCCGATAGAACTCTGGACAATCAAATCGCTCAAACCCAGAGACCAAAATATGTGTTTGTGCAGGAAACAAAGACAAGATGAAAGATTTTTACGTTTAATATTAACATTTTTATCTTAACTGAAGTTTTCATGGGATGATGGCGACTGGTGAAGTTATTACGTTTGAAAATTAGTCAAAGTTGTTTCACTGAGAACAAAACAACAGACACCATGTCTGTTGTTTTGTTCTTACCGCAGCATTCATCAAACATTTTCATGGATTCAAGCGATATGAACGATCTGCAGCATCCACAATGACAGAGAAATGTCATATTTAACTTGAAGAATTTTCAATACTCCACAATATATCATTATTATATTATATACACAACCTATTGAACTTGAGGAAGTGCCTTTGTTTTCAGTTTGGATTTTTCTACATGTGACAAACTGCATCATAAATGCTCCAAACTTCAGCTTTTCCATTTTTATTACATACTCAAAGGTTCAGAGTTCACATTCTCCAGTAAAGAACAAACAGTAGAAATAACAGTTTAAAGGAGTTTTCTTTAACAATAACCCAAACAGTCAGATCATGTGACTATACACAACATCATGTACATTTTACATCGTCTGATAAAAAAAACTTCCAACTGAAATAAGCAGTAAACTAAATCACACACACGAGAACAAAAAATACCAGAATAATGATGTCCGTCGTGTTTCTCCGGTGACGACAGCTCAAGTCTGGTTTCTGTGTCGCTGAGGGGAAAATTATTTGGAATTGAGCCAGAAAAACAACTCAAACAAAAGTAAATAATACAATTAGTACAAACCTGGGTTATATAGAGTCTATATACAAATCTACACATTTAGAAAAAAATATTTACTGTTAAAAATGTACAGCAGGAGGAGCCAACCCTCTGTAATAAGGAACTAATATCAAAAGTACAATGTGTAGGATTGAGTGGCCTCTAGCTGTGAAGTTACATATTGCATTCGACTGAACACGCCCTCCCTTACAGCTGTGTAGAAGAATCTGCAACAGCTGTCAGGTAAAGGTCGTCCACACTCGATGGTAACCGCAACGACTTCGATCACATTTTAGGCCGATCACGTTTTTCAGTGCGCAACAATCGCAGCCAGTTGACGACACCATCAGTGGTTAGTCTCATTCTTTAGTCACGTTTGATCACAGAAGTTTCCCAAGTCTGTGGAATCGCACCCGGAAATCGTTTGTTAAAAGTGTGCGGCTGCGTCTCGATTGGATCGTCTAGTCTGCGAGTTCTCACGGTTAAAACATAAAAAAATCTGACGTGTCCATAAGACGATCACAGACTGGGTTCACGTGCTTTATGCCTCTACACATCAAACATAGAGGGCTTCTTCAGAACCAGTATTTCTGTTTTGTCCGTTCTGGGCTAACGTAGAAACATGGTGGAAGAGTTCCTGATGTAGATACACAGAGTCTCAGTCTCAGGTGACGACTAACACGACGGTTCCAAGGCTACATCCAAACGACGACATTAAAACCATCTCCGTCATTACAAACACCACTCACATACACCGGGCGTGTGTGCGTGTGTGCCGCTGTGAACAGGAAGCTTTTGGTTGTTAGTTGTAGATTGTCCGAACAACATCTGGTCTCCACATGTAAACAGTTGTATCATCGTAAAGAGTTTCACAGCTGGGTCAGTAACACTTGCAATTGATTCTCCGTGTTGCGTTTTCCTCGGAAGGACAATGTGAGGAATCAGTGAAGGTTTACATCGCGACAGAAAAGACCCGTCCAGACGAAAACACAGCCACAGATTTCAAACTGAAACTGGACCAGCAGCGTTTTCAAGCTTCTCAGTTTTACTTTGTGTTTCAAACGTAGTCATGTCGACGTAGTTTCCGGTGATTTGACTAAAACATCATCATGAATATTTCATCTCGGATCCTCATGAATCCTGCACACTGGACCTTGTGAACATGAAGACTCTTTTACACAAACACTTTATTTATCTCATCTGCTGCGAACAATGTTTTCCTCCTGTGCAGCGTCAAAATGCACCAAAGACCTTCAGGTCAGTTATTTACACCAGAGCTGAGATGCAGCAGCAGGAGCAGGAATGTTGTTTTTTCCGTTTGGAGAAAAGTCTGCGTCTGTTAACTGAAGCTTAATTAGCAGCTATTATAATTCACTGAAGATATTATTTTATTAAAATGATTATAAACCTTAAGGCAAGAAGATGAAGGCACGTGTTGTTATTACACTTTAATACAGGAATATGAAATATTAAAGTGTCTGATTCTATATTATAACTCTGTTTAATCCTTGCTCTATTTTTGTGTGTTATGAAAAGGCTGCTCCGCAAATCATCTGTTTCTTTTTGGCTCCAAAAACCTCAAACTTTCTGTGAGAGTCTCATCTTAAGTTTGAGATGCTGGAACTTAATGACTTTGTGAGTTGGTAAGAAACTATAAGCGTCTATATGAAGCTACTTTGTCCTGTTTCAAGGTCAAACTCTGAACCACTGACGTTTGTTGTTGTTAGAAAACTCTCGACTCTGTGCTGCCCTCTAGTGGATGAATTGCTTAACAACCATTCCAACTTCACGGACACAGTTTGTGAGCAGTGACGTTTGAAGCGGACTTTTCTTTTCGTACGTAAAGGCAGAATAAATTATCGTGGGGCCTTGGTGGAGGGATCGATCTCTAAGTGCCTGAGTTTTCTTTTCTAGTTTCTTTCTGGATCGTTCGTTAAAAACTAAGATGCAGTGTTGTCAAGTATTACAATAAATTCATTTTTTCTACGATTGGTTTTATGATGTGACAAGTGAAGGCAAAGCATCATGATCGCCCCCTGGTGTCTGGCTGCAGTATATGTCATAATCCCCCGCCTCCTCCATGTTAGCAGATGGGACCAAACTAAAAGTAGAAGTACACGTTAAATTAATGTTTGTCAAAGATGTTTCTGTCGTTCTTCTCTCTCTGATGTTCGTTCAAGTGTTTCTCATCAGTTTGGTTTAATCAGTTACTTATGACATAAAAACGGGCGGAGACGTCATGATTGACAGCTGACACTGACTCCTGATTGGTTGAGCATGTATCATCAGGACCTCGACACCCTGATGTGTGGTACTTGTGTGTTTTGATCGCCTCATCGCTACTGTTCTTGTAGTAAGTCCTCACTACAGGAATCAGAGGACAACTCGGGAATGGCTTGATTTCCACCAGGCATCATCTGAACTGTGGAAGCAGAAGAAAAACGGATTTAACTTGAAAAATAAGTCCATGGAGACGTTTCTCCTTGTGGTGTGGTGACGTAACAAGACGCCAGAGAACGTTCAACATCGTCTGATAAATCAGGCGCAGCTGGATGGCTTCTCGGCCTCAGTTCGTGCTCTTGAGCTCAAAGCGGCTGTACACCTGCTTGGATTTCATCTTGTTGTAGTGGTTCACCAGGTCCAGTTTGCTGTGGCCCAGCGTCATTCGCTTCTGGTCCTGCCGACTCATCAGAGCGACTGGAGAGGGAGGGGGAGGCGGGCTCTGCTGGCTCTCCGGCTCCGTTTGAGAGAGGTCTGGCCCTCCCCAGGGCGAGGAACCGTGAGGGGACGGTGACCTCCAGGGGTTGTAGGAGTCTTTGTCTTTGTCCTTGCCGGAGGGGGTCACGAAGAGGTCTGACAGTTTGTTGAGGAACTGGTTGGAGGGGGTTCTCTGCTTGGGGGTGAGTTTGCTGTCGTTGACCTGGGACGGCGTCTGGGTCCTGGGGTTCAGGTTTGAGTTGGGGGTGCCGTGGAACATGCTCGGTTTGTGGTCGTACAAACCCAGTGCCTGGAACTTGGAGGAGGTGCCGCCGATATTAGACCTCACGACGTCCATCGCGCCGGGCTTATTCCGCTCGATGCCCATTGGCTGAGCAAAGGTCGACGAGGGTCGCTCAGGAACTAGGATGTGATTGGCCGCTCCGTTAGCAGACACCCGTGATCCTGGTGGCAGGATATGTCCCTGTTCTGCACCCCCACCCCTCCTCTCAGGGCTGAGGTGAGAGATGCTGTTGGTCTCCTTCTTGTCGTGACCTTGAGTGACCTTATAGACGGCGTTGGCGGTCATTCCAGGCGCCGCCTTCACACTGGAGACACTGTTACTTGATTGGCTGCTGGAGTTTTCAGAACAAACTCTGTCCCTCTGCCTGCTGAAGGAGAGAAAGTTACGATTAGTGTCCTGAACATTGTTTAACGTTAGTTCAAAACTATTTTTCATCTTGAATTTAGACAGACAATTATTTTCTGTACACTGTGACACATTTCTGCACAAATGAACAAACTAGTTTTACTTTTCCACTCAAATACTTTCTATGTTTCATTTATTGAAATTCATGATATGTAAGAGTTTGTTGTTATGGAGCAGCAGTGAGGGATGATGGGAGTTGTAGTCTTCTCCTCAGTGATAACGGATCAGGAGGTTTTTATCTGGATTCTCCTCAGACGTCTCCTCGGACGTCTCCTCAGACGTCTCCTCGGACGTCTCCTCGGACGTCTCCTCGGACGTCTCCTCAGACGTCTCCTCCTCCAAAACAAGCAGCAGCTGACTCACTCCAGTAAAAACAGTGAATGAAGCAGCTTCATGTTAATCTGTGTTTCTCTGATGAGTCGAGCTGACGCTAACTTTAAAAAGTCACTTTTGACTCTTCAGACAAACACAACACTGACACACAAAGAGGATGTGACGCCACCAACAGGCGACCAAATGGACTCCAGCTTTGTACCTGTCGGAGAGTAAATCCAGCGCCATGACCGGGCCGGGCCCTATGCCAGGGGCCATCATGGCCTGGTACGACGGGTAGTACGGCATCCCCTCCTCCTCTGGGTTGTAGAAGCAGTCGATGATCTGCGAGTCGGCGTACAGGCAGCGAAACTCCCGGTCAAAGCTGTCAGCGATGCGCCCTGAGAAATGCATCACCATGTTGCTGTGCACCTGAGCCGACAGCCAGGTGAAACTGGAGAGGAAGCAGAGAACGGGTCAGACATGTTGTTAGAGTGTGGAAGCAGTGAGATGTCGAACAGGAGAACCTGCAGATTCAGACACAGCAGAAACGTTGAGGCGTAATGTGGCTCATCGTGTATCTGACTCCTCAGCGATAACACAAGTTAAAACACCAGCGTGAAAACTACACATCACGATAAGAAAATGTGCCTTCGCTCATCTTCCACCTCCAGCTGAGGAGCCACTGAGCCTCATGAGTTTCACCTGCAGCAGCAGACGTCTTGAAATCTGGTGAACGAAATGTAAAACCCTTCATTCCAGAGACACGTCAGATAATTAACAAGCAGCCGAGGATTCTACTTTCACACGATGGCGAACCAAACAAGTCAGAGCCCAGAGAGGGACGGAGGGAAACAAGGGAGAATTAGAGCCACCGGAGGGCGACACAGAGCAGACCTCCTGAAAACTAGATGAGTTTTAAAAGATAACCTCCACATGAAAAATGTATCTTGGCTTCTAAAACATTTTCTTTGCGGGGTTGATGATGTCGTAGAGGTCGTTACCGATCAGAAAACACGAGGAACGTTTCTCAGGTTGAAATTATCCTGGTTTGAAAAACCCAGATTGAAAAGAAGAAGTACTTGAAGACGCTGTTTTGATTTATTCAGTCACCTCAGGCCAGTTTCCAGATTTCCCTCTAACTTGTCTCGACTCAGCAGCTTCTCAGAATCATAACTTAAATAACATGACTCTGCTCCTGCGAGCGTTTGAAACGTCCTTGATCCTGATGGAAACGTTGTGACAGCGAGAGTGTTTCACAGCAGCTGAAAACCTGCAGGACAGCTTCACTCAGATATGTTGGACACATTCACTGAAGAAGAACACGTCCTTCACACGCACTACAAATCAATCATACCGTGTGTTTGCATCGCCGGGGGCTGGCGTTTAGGGGGCACCCATTTAGCCACGCCCACACATAATACCCATTTCAGATCTGTGAGAAGTGAAATAACAGTTTTATAGAACCGGAGGAGTTGTTGTGATGTTTCTTAAAATGTGACTCATCTTTATCATGTCACGGTAACTTCATACAAACACACAACATGCTTCCATACAGAAACATACAAATATGAAATATATCAATTCAGTTCTCCAACAAACAAATCTAATTCTAATGAAGAATTCTGCTTTCAAACTTGTTTAGTGACTTTGTTGTTGCCGCACGACTGAACGTAACATCATGGAGTTGTCTGTTAGGATTTACAGTTTTAATATGAATAAACAAACACTGAGGATCTTAGAATGATCGTATTATGTAATTAAAGAGTCAAGTTAAGAAATGATCCACTTTCTGATGCTTTTATCTGGATGTGTCTGTATCAGTGTTTTATCTGCTTCTCAAATAAACGAATCTGATTCTGTGACAGGGGAACGCCCCGGGTATCAGAATGTGACGCAGCCGTTTTATGGCTTTTAATATCGGAGGTTTGAAGACAGCGTGGGAGGGAGGGAGGGAGGGAGGGAGGGAGGGAGGGAGGGAGGTTGTGCTCAGGTGATAAAACCTCGTCGGACCTCGCCCTTCATTCCAATGTCAGTTTGATGTCTGTCATGACACACCTGAAACCACACCCCACCGCAGGTGCTGCGTTACATCACAGTTTCATTTCACAGGTAACTTGTGATTTGAGAAACTGTAGATGGGGGGGGGTGACTTTTACTGTGAAGGCTCCATAACTGTGAAATAACCTCAGACCAGCTGCCTCAGTGTCGTCGGCTTTGAAACATGCATTTTCATAAAATGGCTTTCAGTTAAATGTTTTATCTTCTGTCTCTTGCATTAACTTGTACATTTGAAGCACTTTGTAAATCTAAAACACAGTTTCTTATATTTTACCGATGAACAATCGGAACGGAAAAAGGAAGAAGAGCTGAGCAAACGTTTTGTAGCTGCTTTCACACCTGCACGGAAGTTCTGACATGTCCCTGACATGTTCCTCACATGTCCCTGACATGTTCCTCACATGTTCGATGAGAACACATGTCTGAGTCAGTGTCTCTGGACGTGTTCTGGATCTTCTCCTGCAGCCTCTAGTGAAACATCTGGAACCTTCTCAGTGAGCGAGTGGGCGTGTCTCTGAGGTTTCTAACACGTGACGGACGTGAGACTGAAGAACACAAATGTCTCAGGATGAAGAAGAGGAGCCGTACACGTAGAGGACGAAGACGTCCACTTGGAAGGACGAGGAGGTTCTAGATTAACACTGATCGTTACACAGCAGAGTTTAGACGTCATGTCCCGCCTCCTGCTGCTCTACAGGCTCCGCCCCTCGCCTGAATGTCCCCCACATGTTCCTGTTGTTGTGAACGAGTCGACAATCTGCTGCTTCACACACACTGACTACACAACATGACTACACAACATGACTACACAACATTTTCCAGACAACAGGCAGGTTTAGTTCAATCACTGAAACGAGACGTAGTAAAGTGGTTTGTGAGTTGTAGTGTGAACGTCTTCATGTTTACAGAGTTATAATTACACCACCAAGAAGGAGGGTGACAAAGACACACAATCATCATCATCAACACTCCCTCTGTGACACTAAGTTGTGAAAATCCCTAGAGTTTGACAGCAGTGTTTGTCTGGCCGCCACACACACACACACACACACACACACACACACACGCTCCCTATGGGAATAAGGTGCAAACAGCAAAACAACATGGAGCCAAGTCTGAGCTGACAATGAGTCAGTGACAGAAGAACAGTTTGTCAGCTCCTCTTTTAAATCCACTCCGTGTTTCAGCTCTGGTTTGAAGCTGCAACAATCTGTCCTGTGAGTTTCAGTCGATTGACAAACTACTGATGATCAGTTCAAGGTTTGAGACCGTGGTTGAGGAAGCGTCTCCAGTTTAACTTTTCAGATTTTTGGTCAGATACGATGGTAAAACTTGATCGATGAGAAACTCGGAGCATTTTAAACTGCGTTCTGGTAAAAGAATCTCCTGCCTGCGTGGTTCTGTTCAAGTTGGTGAGAAGTTTCTCACACGATCGACTTCACACGTGTGGCTGAGGACATGAGGAAGAACACTGAGGACTGTGAAGCTCTTTGGACGAGCTGTTCTCAACAACACAAGTATCTCAGGGTCTTGTTCACGACTGAGGGGAAAAAAGAGCTGGTGCCCAGATTCTTTCCAGATTCAAGGACTTTAACTGAGTATTCTTCATCTACTGATTTCACCAAAGAAACCGATCTCATGTTTTATGTTCTCCAGTTACGACAGCACAACTGTTTCCTGTGTCTGTCTTGTGGTGTTCACACACTTTGAGCTCATCAGAGCTGCAGCTCTGCTCAGTCTCTGTCTGAGAACACAGTTCGAGTTAAATGACAATAATTGAATGGGATCTTTACTGAAAACAGAGTAAAAGACTCAAGAAGCAAAAAAAAAAAAGGCGATTATGTGAAAGAAAAGTGAAAAATAATTGTGTTCTTGTAATGAATGAGTGAAATAATTAAACTGATAACTGCGTATGATTGTAAACCTACTCTCTCTAAAGGAGGCACTCAGAGCAGCAGCATCCAGACACACTGTCGTTCACAGGTGAAACACAAACAGCTCCTCCTCCTCACAGCAGCACAACTCCAGCATTGTTACACATCTTATCTACACACACATTTACACACTCGTGATGGCGTCGGAGCTTCCTCCTATAATCCACCGCCGGTCGGATGCAAATTAAATGTCAGACTGTGAGCGGCCTCTGTTGTGTTTTTCACGGCGACAGTCTCATTGTCTCTTTGTGTCAATGTCTCTTTGTCTCTTTGTCTCTTTGTCTCAGTGTCTCTGGATGTGTTTGCTGTCTCATGAAGCAAGAATCCACCTACACACGTCTTTAGTCGACCTGTTGTTTCAAATCTTCATAATATCTGGAAATGAACAGATGATCTGAATAAATGACGTCATTTGGAGTCAAAGTCCTCGCGTCCTGAGTGTGTGTGTGTGTGTGTGTGTGTGTGTGTGTGTGTGTGTGTGTGTGTGTGCGTTCCTTCCTGACCTGTATGACCCTGCGATGACCTCTTCACAGTCAATGATCATGAACTTCTCCAGGACCTGACCGGTGAACTTCTTGCCACTCTTGGTGCAGTAGGTGTCGCCGCACACACTGCGAACACGCATGTTCTGCACACACACACATATTTCACTGTTAGCAACACGTACATGTACATACACACACACACATCCCCCGTCTCTGAGCCTCTACACACTCTCCGTCTGTCTGCGCTCTACTTACACTCAGGTGAGAGTTCTGAATGTCGAGCGCAGAGCACATGTCCGCGAAGTAGCCGAGCTTCTTCTCGTCCAACAGGATGTAGACGGGGACGTGGCGTTTGTTGGACGCCTCCATGAGGTCACAGAGCAGGTCGACGTCCGTAAACACGTCCATGACCACGGCTATCACCTAAAGAAGGGAGACAGGAGGGACAAGAGATCCATGAAGAGTTTTTACGTCTCCTAAAAATACGTCCCTGTGGAAACAGGAGATTTTCTCTCACACCTCGTTATTAATTTCTAATATGTTGAACATGATTGTGATGATTTTTCATTTTAACTCTGCACAATTACCTGAACTATTTCAATACCTTACACAGTACT